CCCGGTTTCATTGTCAATGGACGCCCAAGTCCGAGTCTGGGTGGGCCCAAAACGGCCATCGACGCGGCTTGGCATTGTCACGGGATTGGGAATGCGTCAATGCGTAGAACGTGGTATTAACTCAACGGCCAGCACATACATATGTAGCATAGCACGCCAGGCACATTCTACTGCAGATTAGTTTACAGTTTATTCAAAAATGTATGTACAAATAGTCCGGATTATAATCTAGTAAGCATGAGAGACCTCATAAGAACCAGCCTGTGCATCTGAAATTAAATTAGATAGAATATACAAATTCTGTCAGATATTTCTAGGGAAGCATGAGCTGATGCTAGCTTAATATTTACATATTTTACTTTGAATAAAGCTTTCAAAATCATAACTTATATCTATTTAAAGCAGAATTATAATAAAAATGAAGGCCTCCAGCTCTTGGAATCTAAATATTATATTTTAATCAGAAAAATGCGTCTGCCAATAAATAGTTTTCAGTGTGTGTATGAGGGAATTCATTCAATTTGTGAGGTCTCACGTGTAAATGCATTATTTTTATCAGTCTTTAACAACAGTGTTGAGCAACCAACGATAATTTAAAGAATGCGATACTATCGATATAAATGTTACAATATTATTTTCCTTTTGTTATATAAATAACTTTTTTATTTATTAAATGATTGTCCCCGACTAAAACAAATGAAGAATGAAGTGCAATCTTTCGTTTGAATTCGCCTATAATTCTCAAAACGTTAAAGCGAAACAGGGGCAAGGTGTTTGGAGTTGATGGCACAGTAAGCGGATGACAGAACCGGAAGGTTCCTGAAATAGCTAGAGCTAATACCTAATTGTATGCGTGGGTTTTGTGCATGCAAAAATATTTATATAGTATATTTTATTATATATAAATAGTTAACATTGACCTTTAGTGTCAGCCAAGCTTCATATTAATGTCACACTGAAAATGTCACTCAACCCATGTGACATTTGCATTTATTTTGTTTATTATTGTATAGTTATTTATTTCTAAAAAAGTCTTCTGAATAGTGCTGCTATTCAAAGTGAATTTTATGCAAGATGCGTTTATATATATATATATATATATATATATATATATATATATATATATATATTCTTATTAGAAAACTCAATATCTTTGGTATTCTTTAACAATCTTTGTTGTTTTGAATCACACATAAAGGCGGCGGGTTTGCTTTTGTGGAGTTTTTGCTGTGCTCTCGTATTGGTATGTTTTGTTTTTCTACAGAAATCCGATGCTCAATCTGTAGTTCATGACACTCTTAGTTGGTATTTCCATTTGGAAAACTTTGTCCCTGTTCTTTCAATACAATCTCATATTTTCTTAATAGTTTGGCAGTTCCTCTTTGCTTCCTGTCACACACGCACACACTCACACACACACACACAAACGCAGAGATACACACAAAGTTGTTGCTGCTCATTTTTTCAGTCAAGTTCGACTTCTTCTCCTGTAAGGCATGCACAATTCCCTGAATCAGGCAAATAGTTGGACTGAGTGTGTGTGTGTGCTTCTCTCTTCTTTCTTCTTCTTCTGCAGGATATTCAACAGCAGCGACGTCGTCTTTTGCATTATTTTATGGCCTTAAGCAAATTATATTCCCTTAGCTTCGGCCAAAGAGTTAGCCAAAAACTTTTGTGCGAACTGCAGGCGTGTGTGTGTGTGTGTGTGCTTGTTGTTGGTGTTTGCATAATTTTAAAAAAAATTTCAAAGTTATCCGCTTGCTCTGCTCCTCACATCCTCAGCCCATCCATGCTGTCCTTTTTGCCATCGGTTCCTTTTATTTAGTTCGCTGCCATTTGCATTGTTTTGCGGCCCTGCGGCATTAAGCGGCAAAGTTTTTGACAAAAACTTTTTCTGCTGTTAAAGCTGCATTTAAAATTTGCATTAAATTAAGCACACACGCGCACACACACACACACATACGCACTCACACACCCGTGACACCCATGGCCCGCTGGCTGCTGCGCTTTTCGAGTCAATCTGAAATTTTCGCTGAAATCGCAGCGACATCGTCTGTTTAGAAGTGGCAAATAAAGGCTGATCAAATTAATGACAGTGCCACCTGCCACGTGACACCAACTTTGCACAGCTGCATCCGCTGCAGCAGCCGCAGACACAGTCGCAGCCGCATGGACTTTGCCCGGTCAAGTTCAAAATCAGCCATAAAAGCCGAAAAAACAATTCTCAACGTTCACGTTCGCTCGCCTAATAATGGGCCTGAAGGAGGAGTGGAGGAGGTGGAGCTGTTTGCTGTGTGGCCTGTGCCATGTGGCATGCGGAAGGATGCAACTGCTATGTGCGGCATTTGAGGCATTTGGGGCATGTGTGACATATGACGAAGTGCGCCTCATTGATCTGCACGTTTTCACGTTGCGTTCCGGGAAAATGATGTTTAACACGCACAATCACACACATACACCAACCGCACACCAAAACGCACACACACACACAGGCAAAACAAAACTACTTACACACGTTTAGCGCGGCACGTTTTGTGCGACGTTTGCACATTTCAAGGATGTAACTAAATTCGTAATGAAGACGTGCAAACTGAAACTACGTGCGTGCATGTGTGTGTTGGTGTGTGCTTAACTCCATTTTGCCTGCCACATTGGCAAGAACATTCAATCAATCAGTCAAATCCGTCGAGAAATTTTCGTTAAATTAGTCAAGCTGATTATTTACTGCTGCTGCCCTCGTGTGGGGCAGGTCATGTTGAGGTCGCACACAAGCCATTACCACCCTCCCTTTCTCCAGTTCCATTTAATTGTGGCTAGTTAAACTGCGGAATTGGCTAAATAAACATAAAGAAATCGCCCCAACTTAGTTTACCGTCCAGCTTGTAATTAGATGCGACTCATTAAGCACCCAGGAATAAAATGCGACAAAACTACACTGAGCGAAATCGTTAGTGCTGTTTCGCACTGCACCAAAAAAAAAAAGGAAACCGAATAGAGCTAAATTCAAGGCACTTTTTTGATTCTGTTCCAAAAATGTCACACAAAATAAGAATTACAAATACAGCAGAGGATTAGAAAGGTATCGATAGTGCCTGCACCACTATCGATACTCTTTAATTAGTTCACCCTGCTCTCAATGAACAAGGTTAAAACCGGGCATATTAGTTTTGTAAACGAGATATACATATAACCGGCTTTAGCAGAGAGTATATAAGCAAGAGTATCCAAGTTCAAATTGTTTTCCTACCAGCACGCGAACTATCCACAATACCCCCATTTTTCAGAAGTCGATAAGTTATAAATCTATATCTTATTTGAGCAGATCTCCTTAAGTTGACGAGCTTATCAAATTTAAGAGCTAGCTCGGCGCTGGGTACTCTCTATCTCTTTTAATTTATATTCTCTCTCTCTTTCTGTTCTCCTCTCTCTCTCTCGTTTAATTTATATTCTCTTTCTCTCTTTCATTTCTCCCCTCTCTCTCTCTCTTTTATTTCTTTCTCACCTCTCTCTCTTTATCTTCTCTCTTTTACCACGACATCTATCGAACACTTTTGGCACTTTAACATTAATGATGCAATTGTTGATAATTATATACATATATTAATGAAGAGAGCTATAGCAAATATTTTCCAATCGAAAATGGGAAATCTCTTCAAGAATTTGCTGAGTAGTTTTTGCTTAAGGTTTGCATTGGGCAATTCGATAGGCTCCCTCCATTAATTGTATGTCTTGAGCCAACAAATTGTTTGTGCCATTTGCATTTGATATTCTTTCTGGATTGCGTTATAGACTATATGTGTGTGTAGTATTTCGGCTAAGATATTGAAAGTGTTTGGCAGCTACAACAACAGCTGGGGACTTGCCACAGTGTTCGCTGACAATGGGCGGCTGGCCTTGAACTCCTTGTTGGCCGCCCAAAACCAACTAGAACGAGTTATGCGAATGTGTCCGACTTTAATTAATTACCGGAATACTGTTAATATTTGCATTGCCTTCAAAGCGCCGCAACCGAACCGACCGAACCAGCAGATCCGCTGAGCAAACACAAAGAGCGCAACGAGGCCCAGAAAGCGACGCGAGGTGCCACCAAATGGCCGCCAAGCGGCGCGCTGCCATGGCAAATCGGTGCAGCCCCCAGCAGGCATACACAAGGATTTTTACATTTATATACCCTGTAAGCAGGCAAACCAGCATTGGGAGTATCTCAAGCACTGGAGCTCTTGAGAGCAGACCAAATATATATAAAAGTTCTCTTTTGCTCGATAAAATGTTATATATACATATAGCAAATATATCAGAAAGAAAATATATGTATAAAACATAGATATCAGATATCAGTACCAACATCAAATGCTCACAGGATCACAGTATCCATGCAAAGTATCCTTAGAAAGATGAAGCATCAATCGAAAGTATGGATATTGGTGGAAAGTATTCAATTCACAGTATGCCAACTGTAGGATATCTGTTAGTTGGTCACGCTCGTCTCGAGCGTTTCTTATATATTCTCCATTTTATTTTTGCTCCCTTCATTTTTCCATATTTTGGTCGTGTTTCTCGTAATTTAATTTCTCAAAAAAAATGCGCTCAAAAGTATGCAATGCCAAATTATGTTGTGCTGGTGCCGCCGCGCACAGGCCTCCGGGGGGTGCTGCATGCGGCATGTGGCATGTGGCACGGTGCAGGCGTCGAAAAACGTGTAGGTAGTGCAACGCCAGGCAAAGGTAGCGCTATTTTGGGCTGAAAATAAACAGACGGCCAACAACGTTCGCGTTGTCCATTTTATTAACATTTTTCCAACGATGCCTTACACGTGTGTGTGTATGTGTGTGTGTCTGTGTCCGATTTCCATTGCATTGGTTAGCTGAAAATTCTAAAAATATATAAAATTCCGAGCCAAGTTCGTGCAGTCGCTTTAAATGCAAACTGGAAACGCAATGCACTCAGAAAATTTAACAAATCTTATGCCCTATCCAAAGATAACGCTGGCTGGTCAGAAGTCGGCGCGAAATTGATGTATGTATTTAGCTTCACTTCAAACTACATAAAAATATCACAATTATAGCGTTTGATCCATGAATAGCTTTCAATATGCATCGAACTTCTGAATTGTCGTACAGCTATAAAGTTTTAAAAGTCATCGTTGCGATTGGCCAGCGAACAATTGGCTTTATTTATCCAGTTGGCAATGTGCTGATATCTACACGCGCCCTGCGTGAAACTTGGTATCCATTAGAAAAGCGCTGCGCGGACGGAGGATCAACTTACCTGCTCGGTGAAAACGTTTCGCTCGGCTGGTTGGAGCGTGTGCCATATCTTGACGGCAAAAGAGATCGCTTCTTTGCCCCACAGATCGGGGCGCAGTTCCCGGAATTCGGTCAAAAAGTTAAGAAACCCGCTGTGAGTGATTTGCCTCCGTTGACAACGCATGCTCTCGACGCTATCATTATCTATCTTGCCCGACAATTTTGGCAAAAGGTCCATAGGAAAAAATTTGTAAAAAAAAAAACAAAAAAAAACAAGAAAGAACTATGTAAAATGTACAAAGGATGTTTTATTAAATTTTTGATTGCTTTTTTTTTAAGCTTATTTGCTCACTACGAATTTTAGACTGTGGCTGGAGAAATGATTATACGAAACGTTATGAAACGCCAAGTGAAGCTATTTTACCAGGTTACTAAGCTCCTATCAAATGTAAATATAATGTCTGTACAAATTGATGTATATTTATGCATACATGCCACGCCTAATAGGTGTCTAGATAAACACTATGCTCTTTGATTACCGTCTTAGCGTCACCAAAACAATAAACGGAAAGAATTATTATTTTAACAGAGTATTGAGCAGTCGGTTGAACCCGACTGCACTGTTCTTACTCCTTTCTTATGCTATAAAAAGAACAACAAACCAAAGTTTAACCACGAAAGAGAAGGTTTACCCAAAGAAAAGAAACAGCAAACTATCGGAGCTTGAACTTGTTGCGAATTACAAAGCAACGTTAAACAGAGTTCGCTTTCTGTGTGGCATTGAACTGTTGTAAGTGCACTTAATAATTGTAATAATAATGTAAAGGAAGTCTAACAGTAGACAGGAAAGCAGCACTGCGACCGAGACGGTCTATTGTGCTTGGGGCTGGAAGGGGGCTGGGGGCGAACTCTTTGACTATATGCTGCCTCCTATTCAAAGAAACCTGTGTTCAGCAGCTAGTTGCAACCTAGCTGTCATTATTCAATACTAAAATGCTTTCCGTATCAATCTACCTTTTTTCAGATGATGGAGCACGCCTGGCACAACTATAAATTGTATGCTTGGGGCAAGAACGAGCTGCGTCCATTGTCGCAGCGTCCGCACTCGGGCAGCATATTTGGATCATATGATTTGGGCGCCACAATTGTGGATGGCCTGGACACGCTCTACATAATGGGCCTGGAGAAGGAGTACAAGGAGGGACGCGACTGGATTGAGCGCAGATTCTCGCTGGACAACATCAGCGCCGAGTTGTCCGTGTTCGAGACAAATATACGCTTCGTGGGCGGCATGCTGACACTGTACGCCTTCACCGGGGATCCACTGTACAAGGAGAAGGCGCAGCATATTGCCGATAAGCTGCTGCCCGCTTTTCAGACGCCCACGGGCATACCCTATGCGCTGGTCAACACCAAAACAGGCATGGCCAAGAACTATGGCTGGGCATCCGGTGGTAGCTCGATTCTCTCCGAGTTTGGTACACTGCATCTGGAGTTTGCCTATTTAAGCGATATAACTGGCAATCCGCTGTACCGGGAGCGCGTGCAGACCATACGCCAGGTGCTAAAGGAGATTGAGAAGCCCAAGGGACTCTATCCCAACTTCCTAAATCCCAAGACGGGCAAATGGGGCCAGCGTAAGTAGTTCGATCTGTTTCCGAAAAGCAACATTTTGACCCAACTCCTGTGACAATTGCAGAGCACATGTCGTTGGGCGCCCTGGGAGACAGCTATTACGAGTATTTACTCAAGGCATGGCTTCAGTCCGGCCAGACGGACGAGGAGGCACGCGAAATGTACGACGAGGCTATGCTGGCCATTATGGACAAAATGGTGCGCACCAGCCCCAATGGGCTGACCTATGTATCTGATCTGAAGTTTGATCGATTGGAGCATAAAATGGATCATCTTGCCTGCTTCTCGGGTAAGTTTTTGCATATATTTGACAATTGCGCTCGTTAGACCGACGCTCGAATTTTCCGAAACCGCATTTCACTTTCCACCCGAAATAATGCTTCAGTAAATGTGTCAGCGTTGAGCCCCCGACAGGAGAAACTCTTTTATGAATATTTATACAGACATATTTAATATCCAAATTCAATTCGCAGGCGGACTTTTTGCGCTGGGCGCTGCAACGCGCCAGAACCAGCACACGGACAAGTACATGGAAGTGGGCAAGGGCATTACCAACACCTGCCACGAGAGCTATATACGCGCGCCCACCCAGCTGGGACCGGAGGCATTCCGGTTAGTATTCAGTTCAGGCAATTCCATTAATTTATATATTAATCCTTCTGGAGTTGTGGTATCTTTTAGCTTCAGCGATGCGGCAGAGGCGCGTGCGCTGCGCTCGCAGGAGAAGTACTATATACTCAGGCCGGAGACATTTGAGAGTTACTTCGTGCTTTGGCGCCTCACGCACGACCAAAAGTATCGCGACTGGGGCTGGGAGGCGGTACTGGCGCTGGAGAAGCATTGCCGTACACCGCACGGCTATTGCGGCCTGCGCAATGTCTATCAGCAGGAGCCCCAAAAGGACGATGTGCAGCAGAGCTTCTTCCTGGCTGAAACACTCAAGGTATTTAGCTGATAGTATGGGAATTTAACTTGGAAACAATTAACGAAAACGTTTTTCTTATGCCCTAGTACCTGTACTTGCTGTTCTCCGACGACTCCGTACTGCCCCTGGACGAATGGGTCTTCAACACCGAGGCGCATCCATTGCCCATCAAGGGTGCCAACATTTATTACCGCAAGGCTCCGGTGCCGCTGCCCGCATCGAATGCCTCATAAGCAGTTGGGCGCAGTTTGTTGACCGCGTCATTTTAATTGACTATATATCATTTAATATTATGATTATTATTTAAATATTGTAATGTTTTTTTTTTTTTTATTATTATTATTTGTCTGTTGCTTTAGTTAGTTTCTATTTTAATGTGTGTATGCTTATATTATTTGATTGCACAATGACAACAACTATATAATTTGATCTTTAGTTCGCCGGGCAATCAACGGACGACCATATTCTATGTAACATATTTATGCAACTCTTATTAACGATAGCAACAAGAACCCCTAAGTAGTTAATATATGGTAACCATCCTCTAGCTCGTATTCAATACACAATTTGCACAATTTTTCAAATCAAGCCAAAAGGCAAAACAATTTTTCACACCAATTTGTAGGCTGCACTTGGCTAATTACAGTTTGAGGTGTTTGAAAAAAAAAGGAAAAACCAACCAATTATATGGTATATATAGACAAACACACACACACACACACACACACACACACACAAATGATTTATATAAGTAAACTCAGGTGTTCGAATTATGATTTCTTGCATTGTATCCGTTAACGGAATCAACTTGAAAACTCTTCAACTTGCATTCTCAATATCGTTCTGTCTAACTCTCTCAGACTCACACTCTCTATATCTCTATCTCAATCTCTATCTCTAGTACTAGATCTATCTATCTACATAGCATATTTGTGTAGAGCACCCTGTATGTAACTTAATAACTTGCATTTTGAATATGAATATGACACAACTCTCAACATTCGGTGGCACATTCTGGGATCGACATATTTAAGAGCTTTGTTTTGTAAATATTTCCCTAGCGACAAAATGAAGGCATCAATGAGAAGGTTTACAAACCAAGTAATTGTCAAGTTATTGTTTATGTTGTAGTTTAAATATAATAATTAAAATTTATTGTAATAGCACCTAGCATACTTTAAACAAATGTAACGCATATTACTTTACATCAGCATCAAGCGAAACGAATCTTAAATATATATATTACACATAAAAAACAACAAAACAAACAAACAAAATAAAAAACAACACATAAACAAATATATGTAGGCAATTGTTTAAACAAAATATTTATACAATTATACAACAAGCGAAATAATTTTATTTTTAACAATGTAAAGGGTTTTTTTTTATAATCCTAAGCGTAAGATATGATGATAATTATGATATTAATATTAAATAAAAACCATATATAAATAACAAGAAAACAAAAACAAAGTCGAAAATGTTAAATTTGTGTAATCTTCAGCGCTTTGTATCAGCTCTCGAGCTGTGAGAAGTCATATTAGAAATATACGTACATACACATAAAATATAAAAATAATGAAGAGCATTACAAAAATATACATTTTCTAAGGTGAACACATAGTTTTATCATTATATAAATTATATATATATATAAATATCTATATACATATAAATATATTTTTTTTTTTATGTTATATCAAATTACTTGTAAGACAGAACGTGAATATTGTATAATTGTGAGTCTAATAAAATTGTAAATGCATGATAGATGAACACGACGAAGTGGGCAACTCTCCCTAGGGACAGTGCAAGTGGATATTAAGAAATGCTTAAACATAACTGTATTGGACTAACCCATAAGTATAATAAAAACCTAATGAATAACATTAAAACAAATGCGATCTGTTTTGCGACATTTTTGAAAAGGTTAATGAGCTTAAGTTTTGTACGGTGTCTGGAATACTTAATCGATTTTATATTGAATATACTCATATTACATGTACACCTATTCGAAAATGGTATACATGTATGTTCATTCTGCATTTTTTACCCGAACCGACTTAAATGTTAAATCCATTTTATTTTACGTCCAAAATCGTACAGCTACAAGTCCCAATCTGATGATGGGTAAGGAATTTGAATATTCTTCATTTAATTATTGTTGTAGAAGATTCTTAAAAACTGCTCTAAAAGTGCAAACTTGATTAGTTTCTAAGCTATCTTCACGAGATTTCGTATAGACACGTCATTTTGTTGCAGGTAGTACAGACAAACTTTACTCGAAACCAAAAATTGAGTTTTCTATGAAATTGTCTTTTGTTTTTCGTTCATGGGAAAAGTCTTTTATTGATGGGACTACTCGAGGATATTGCTCCCGTAAAAGCAGATGGACTGAAAGTATGCATATATTTGTAAAAATAACAAAAACAGCGTGGGCAATAATAGTCGCTTATTGCTGTTAATTATATTTTTAGTCTTCAAAACATGACAGTTTTTGGCAAAAAAAACATATTTAAGTTTTCCATATCCCCTACTCCCATTTTTGTCTGCTCCTTCTGAGATGAACATTTGCTTATAATTTGAAAATCTTAAAGTAAAATTTGTACCTAATTTTACATATGCATGGAAAATAACGAGTGGTCTATTCCAAATAAGTTGTATGTACATATGTATTAATTTCAATTAACTGCCGGTCTGCATAATGATTTTTGCCCCGCTACAATTCCTTTCCAGGCATGACAAACAATTGAGCAGCTCTATTAAAATATATGTATGTACATATAAGTACTTGCACAAGGCGAACAAAGCGCTCTGAGGTTAACAACATTTCTCACCCAAACTCACACTTGGCGGAGAACCCGGAACGGGAACGCCAATTCCAGCTTGCAATGCGAGCGGGCAAAGTCCGAAGCGCATAGCATAAGAGACTGCAAACGGCTGGGCAAACAAAGCATAACCATAAAACGAACAAGAAGCCCACCCGACGCTAGTTGCCGCCCACTTATAAAAAAATTAAGGAAAAACAAAAAACAAGAGTGTATAAGACTTTAGATTCAAAAGTCATTCCACCCGCGGAGCGCAAACAAAGACAACTCTGCGCTTGCAGTCAAAGCCATTCACTGGCTGTTGCTCTCTCTCTCTCTCTCTGTCTCTTTCTCTCTCCCGTTCTACCGCTCTTTTCGCGCTCTCTTTTGTTCTTGTTGTTCGCATTACTCCTGCTGCTTCTGCTGCTTCTTCTTTGCTGGCTAGACGAGCCCGCCAGACCAGCTGAGTTGCTTTTTGCCGGTCGCAGCGACTGCGTTCATTGATTTTTGTTGTTGTTATGCCCTAACCTACTCAGACTACTGCAGCTACTTGCAGATGTATTGCCATTTTGTACATTGTTAAATATAAATAAAATTTTATTTATATTCATTAACCTAATATGAAGAATAAAAAGCGGATTATATACCAATTTCTCATGAATTCCCTTATACATAAAAATAAATAATTAAATTTAAGTAATGCGTATGAATATAACATTTTAAAATATCACATGCATCGATATATTACAAATTCATTTGAAAACGGCTCAATCAATTACATCAACATATAGAGTATACAGTCGTCGAGCTGGCTTTAAGCTTTGCCTTTGTGTTTTTGTTTTGGTCGTTGACGTTCGCGGCCTCGCTTCAAGCAACCGCACAGTTGCCTGCGAGTTTTCAAGCGAGTCGGAGCGTCGATGCAGCAGCAGCGCCAGTAGCTCCAGCAGTTGCATTCAGTTAAAGTCTATAGCTGTGTGTTCTTCTCTACATCTATTTTTTGTTGTGGTTTCGCAAGTGCCGTGTCAGTGCCAGAGCTCCATGATGCCGTTCCCCATACATCCACCCAAGCAAATGCCCTGCCCACACTGGCAGCACTTTCCCATTAGCCCGGTCGATAGTAAACCGAATCCATTTGGCAGCAGCAACAACGATGCGGTTGCGCCAGTTACCAAGCCACCGGAGCCGGTGTCCTATCGCTACTGTGTCCACTGCAAGGCAGCTGGCAAGGATGTGGGCGACATCAGAAAGGATTGAATGGAGCTACCAATTGCACGCATTTTTCACCTTAGCGATGACATGGGCCACGCATTTACTCCACCCATTCCACATACACTCGTCACCCACTCACGAATCCACATAAACATCACCAACCACACCGAACCACTCACAATGACAGTGGAACTCCCAACTAATCTCAAGTGGGCCCGCCGCGATGAGTGCAGCTTATAAATATATCGAATTAAAATTTGATTTGTATTCTTATAGGAACTTCGTATGTGTTTGCCTTCTGCTCGTCATTTGCTTTGCGTTTTTGTTTCATGTGCCAATCATAATGATACCATCTACATATATACTATATCTTTGTATAAAAATATACGTATATTTTTTTTACATTTGAAATGCTTAAGCTAAGATTTTTCTACACATGTATTTTTTAGATTCGAGAACTAAATTTGGTATAAAAAAACACAAAAAACACAAAAAAAAACATAAACATAACAAAATAAACGCACGACGCATATGTATAAAAAACGAGTTTATTTTACACACACAGATCCATACATTCGCATATGTACACGCACAAATATGAGCAAATGCATCGATGTATGTGTGGTTTGTTTTCATAAGCGGCACACTTTTTTGGGACTTGTTTGTTGCCTGCTGCTGTACGCTGCTGCTGTTGTTGTTGTTGTTTTTGTTGTTCCGGATCGTGCGCTGCTTTTTATCAGTTTCCAAGGTCAGTAGACAGCAACAAAAGCAACAGCATTAAAAATTCAAGCATACCCGCGATAAGCATGAAACGAAACAGAACAATCCAGCAGAATTCCGTATTTAATCCAGCATTTTCGGTTTTCAATTTGGGTCTTACGCTGTTTTATTCATGTAGTTTCTTTTTTATTTTTTGTTACTTCTATCGTGTGGCCACCAATGGGTTAATTAGCTCGCTTGTCGCACGCAACTGCAATGCAAGAGAATTGTCTGAGGATGGGTGACAAAGTTCAACAAACTGCTTAAGTGCAAAAATAAATACGCACTCTCAGTTACAAACATACATACATATGTATGTACATATGTATGTGCATAAATACATACATACATATGTACGTGCCGGCATGCATGCTTACGTATGTATATGTATTTCGAACTACCGCTAGTCGCTGCTAGAAGGAGCGGTAAAAGTATCACACCTTATCACACAAACAAAACAATCGAGCTCTCTACACTACAGATGCAAATACATAAGAACACGTGCATACAAGCATACATAGTATATGAACATGTGTATGTATATCAGGCTGTATATATGTATGTATGTACATCATTTTGTTCTTATCGTTTTGGGTGCGCAAAACTGAAAGTAATATCGCTAGACTAGGTTTGCTGTCGTATCTACATACATACATACATACACATATTCCATCGTATCTTTATAAATAGTACCGATGCACACATACCATTATGTTAGAAATTGCTTATTATATTAGAAATTGGTAGGTATTGCCCTAATTAAAAGTTATGGCCGCTGTTTCTACCGCGATTACCCTTCATATACATACATAAACATATAAGCATTGCGATATCGAGAAGCCCCACAACTACCCTCATAAACATTCTAACTAATAAGAACTTTATTTAACTGAATACACACAGCATAATTCAAATATTATTAATCGCTATAGAGCAAGAATCTATAATATTGTATACATACATATGTCTATTATTCTAAGAAGGATATTTTTATATTTGTACTCTTAAGACAAACCAACTTTAAATCAACTAAAATGGTTAGGCTTATATTTTTCTCGGTTGGATCATCGTAAATATACATACATACATATGTATACCCCGTAGGAAACAAGGGAAAATTAAACTATCCGTGAAATTGAATTTTTTGAAGGTGTGTAGGATCCGTTGTGTATATAAGTAACATGTTTTCAAGTTTTTAACACCTGTAGATGAATCTCTCCAAATCCGATTAACAGATGTTTCCCGTAATTTTAGCAATTAAATATATTTAACGTGCATTAGTGTTGCAGACTTGCAACACTTTTAGTAGTCAAAGGTCTGGGTCTCGCAATGTTGCAGCAAACTTTTCAGTCTTGCTGTTGCAAAGTCTTGCAAATTTAGCACCCCATAAATATCTATATATATTTATGGCTATGACCTTTTGTGCTTAAGCTTGCTTACCCTAGTTTAAGTAAAAAAAAACGGTGTCATTTTCTTATCATTACATATACAAAATATTATCCTATGAAATACTTCTATATTAATAAATTAACATATAGGTACATATATTGCAAACTTAAATAAACCCGTTTTTTAAGTCTGCACAGATTTATTTTTAAGCAAAGTTAAGTTTTCAGATATAAAAAGTGAAAATTGCATCTAATGTTTTGTCATACATATGTGCATTTATTTTTTAAACAAACAGTCTGGCAGCACTGGCAGGCAAGAAAAAAACGGTTAGGCTACATATACGAACCGAACGCAATGCAGTGGAAACGTGACGAATGGAACCAGTACACAAAACTATCGCCGGCTAGTGTTGAAGCCCTTGGAACGACTGGTTCGCAATGAACCATGTCGTCGCTTCGGAATAGTGAACATTAAAATGAAACTTACTTTTCAAAAGCTGAGCTGAGAAGAGATCTACTTAGTTGGAAAGCTGCTGCAAGCAGGTGCAACTACTGAAGTACGTGGCCCAGTTAACTGTTTTGTAAACGTGTAGCTGAACGGCCGGCAAATAAAAGAGTCAGCAAGTGAACGGCGCAACATGGACTATCAGTACTACGACGAGCCAGACTATGCAGATGAGGATGAGGACGGCAGCGGCGGCAGCGACGTTGTCTACGTTGACCAAGAGTCCACGAAGCGTCAGTCCAACAATGATTTCGATGACGCTGATTTCGAGAGTGTGGCGAATCGTTTGTGGGACAGCTACGAGCACTGCATACTGCCCTCGCTGACCCAGGTGACAAGTTACATTGTTCCCCTGCTGCTGGGCTGTTTGCTGTGCCGGCTGCTTAGCACGCTCTATGCACGCCGCGCACGACTCATGACCAGCTCCAGCTCCAGCTGCAGCTGGCAAGAGGCGAACAGTCTAAAGCTGGCGCCGCTGCACATCATCAATGCGCTGTGCGGCGCTGGTGTGCTATACGCGACACTGGGCCAGAAGATGCTGATCCTGCTGTTGCTTAGCGGCATCAGCTTTGTGCTGCTGCAGCTGGTGCGCCTGGGCAAAGGGCAGCGCGGCGCCTTGGCCATTGCTGTGCTCAGCATTGGCAGTCAATTCCTCTACGAGCTGGCCATTTGGCAGAAGCGCGACGACTGGCCGCAGCTGCGCGGACTGCAGATGGTGACCAACATGAAGGTCATATCGCTGGCCTTCGACTTGACGGCGACTGGCGCGCCAGGACTACGCATGCCGAGCATTCCCGCCTACCTGGGCTACATTTTAAATCCGGCCAGCTGTGCGTTGGGGCCCTGGCTAAGCTACGCCCGCTACTTGGACTCGCTGCACAACAAGCCGCCCTTGCGGCGCAATCTGTTCCATATGATGGTCAACGTGCTGCTCAGCCTGGTGGCGCTGGTCATCTCCAATTGCATTGCGCCCGCCCTGGGCGAGTTGCATGTGGCGGAGGAGGAGTACACGACGCGCCACAGTGCCGTCTCACACTGGCTGCTCATGTACACGGGCGCGATGAGCGTGCGGAACAGCCACTATTTTGTGAGCTTTCTCAGCCAAGCGCAGCTGGCGGCAGCCGGTCAGCAGCTGGACACAACAACGACGGCGCACAGCAGCTCCAAGGAGCTGCTCGGTGAGCTGGTCGTGCGTCCGTGGAACATTGAATGGCCGCGCTCCCTGAGTGCCCTGGTGCGCTGCTGGAATGTGCCCATGCACGAGTGGCTCAAGCGCTACGTGTACTCGACATCCAAGCTGGAGCAGGGCTCCCGCCAAAACACCATAGTGGCCGTCTTCTGCACATACGTGGTGTCGTCACTGCTGCACGGCATGGACTTCCGCATCTATCTGGTGCTACTCTCGCTGGCCACCTTTGCCGAGGGCGAGACAATGTTGCGTCGTCATCTGGCCAGGCTTTTCAATGCCTGCGTCGCTGCCAATCCCTGCCCCGGCGCCGAACGCTGTCGCTATGCCCACTGCCCGCAGCAACGTGGCTGGCTCTGTTTGAGCTCCTGGCTGGTTGGGCTTACCAATTTGGCCTTTACACTACTCGCAATATTCCATCTGGCCTATCTGGGCGTCGTGCTGCTGAACGAGACTCTCGTCATGGAATCGGAGAACGAGCTGCCCTTCCTCTTCCACTGGTCATCGGCGGGCTATCTCAGCCACTACGTTGGCATCGGCATGTTTGTGCTGTATTTGTTCATATCGTAAACTGGACCCAGTCCATTTAAAGACTGCCTGAGAGAGACTGCATCCCCCCTTGCTCCTCGCTCCCGACGCTGTCCACTGTCTGCACTGGCAGCTGCTCCATGTGATTACACTATTAACATATATATGTATATATTAACATATATATATATATATATGTATGTATATATAAAAATGCATCCGCTCCAGTCGCACACGGTTTCTGTGTGGCTTTTTGTGGAGCTGGCAATAGGAAAAACGGAACTGATTTAACAACTGTGAATCTCTTTATAAACTGTATTTGTATTTTTAACACGTAGTTGTGACCAATTGGCTATTATTTATACACATATATGTAACATTTGTATGTCTGAGCGTCTGTACTTAATAAATGTAAACTACACGTTTTTATATACATATATAAAGCAACGAGTTTTTACTTGGATCTGTCAGAAATGCTTCCCCCGTACCCCTGTGGAAACTGGGTAATTAAAACTGCAGAAGCTAAAGTCTTCAAATATGAAATGTATACTTTCGTATATTCGTCCATTTTCATAAAATCGATACATATCGATTTGGGGAAATGGTTCCTTACGCATAGCTCGAATAGTATAAGATAAACTATAGAAGAAGGTTCTCGTATTGCATACACAGATTAAGAATATTTCACTTTTTACCCAAACAAAAAAAATTTCCTTCAATTACTTTATATAACTAATTATTCAAAATAAAAATTCACATATATTCAAATATATATATTTTTTCGTAAAAGAGTCAACCTATATAGTTTGAGAACAATCTTTTCAATTTTTTATTTAAACTAAGACAGGTTTATAATGTATTTGCCATATAAAATGGCTATTACTTTTTCATCCTTGTATATTCATATATCTCTTGGTTACAATGTTTTTCTGTGATAATTAGAAAGGATTTAATGTTTTTCATGCACAAATAAAAATTCTTTTAATATTGATATCTTTGTATGATATTTTAATAGCATTAAAAGTACCAATTTCCCAAAAAATTGTACAAATAAAAAATAGATTGAATATTGAATATTCTTTTTTTGTAAACGTTTTTTTTAAGAAAATATTGTATATATGTGGCAATATTTTCTGTTGCTTAACATTTTTGGATACCTTTCTGTTGAACGAAATGTCCTATGCAAAGTAGCCGCATGTGGTACAAAGCTGTTTCTTCAATAGTACACCTGAAAGAATATATATATATATATATATATATATATGTTTTATATATATATATGTATATTATATAGCATATAGTATTTACGCCTGGGTATTTTGAATGCAATTTGTTTTTTTTATTATTAATGTTTATTCCATTGGATCAAAAAAACATTGTTATTTATAACAGCATAGTTAGCTTAGATAATGTTGCACCAAGCCTCAGGCTGAATCGTCATCTTTGGAGCAGGTCCTTTAACCATCCTTGCTTGAGCCTTCTCACTACACAGCTCCACACGAGATCTCTTGCTGTCCGGATTGAATGGAATTTGTGAATTTACTTTAGTTTATTTAATAATGCACTAACAAAGCAAAAGTCACTAATTTGTAAGCTATTGTAATAAATAAATATGCAAGCACGTGGTAAAGATAAAAAAATTTTATAGAAAAATGAACTAATTTTTAAACTATAGTGTTTAATATGCAAGCAAATAGAAATTTTCGACTAAACACTCTATATATGGAGACAAATATTGAAATATTTTGTTTAACAAAAAGAATTTAGGCATTCTTCATTAGAAAATCAGAAGAAAAAAAAACAATATATGCATCTCTTCCTGTCATAAGAGAAGCTTTTTAAAATGTGATATTATCACAAAGACCACTCAGTATAAAAAACGTTTGCCCTTTTAACATTATCGCAGCTATTTGAAGATTAGGAACAAGAATTATTCCCTTTTCTAAAGTGGTTTCCTTTTGTGATCCACAAAACGAGCCTTGGGCTCCGTTCTTATGAACAATTTACACAATTCTTAAATCGGGCAAAGCCGGGTAATGTCAGCTAGTTTTTACTTTTCTTAACCACAATTCACGAAGTTCAGTTATGGTAAAGGAATAAAAGTCGAAATAAAATTTTATTTTTTTATTGGTTTTTTATGTAGGTTTTTTTGTTGTTTGTTTTTTGTTGTTTGTTTTTTTTTTTTTGTTTGTTTGTTTGTTGTTTCTTCTCATTGAGACAAATATTTATAACAATATTGTAACTACTACTTTGTTGATTTTTGTTTTGTTTTGTTTTTGCATTTGCTTATTTGCATTTGTTTTCGGTTTTCAGTTTTATTTGTTTTGTCGCTTATGTTTTAAATATTAAAATTACTACCTTAAAAATTATGCAATGACAATAAAAATATTTGTTTTGCAATTTTCGCCTGGTTGTAATTACACCACGTTGATGAACTGCTAAAAAGTTGCGCTGTTTTTTTTTCTTTTTTTTTTTGTTTGTTTGTTTTGTCCCCCATTTTATATTCAGAAAAGTTGTTGCACATTTGATTTGACATCAAAAATAGATAGATATATACATATATATATATTTATGTGTGTGTGTGTGTCTGTTTGGGTGTATATATATATATATATATATATATCGACTCGTGTATATATTGTATATACAAATATATCGATGCAATTTAAAGTGTTTATGTATATTTTATATGTATCTAATTTGTTGTTTTTTGTTTTTTTTTTTTTGCTGTGTTTGACATTGTTTCCGTTTCCATTCCTTATGCATCTCGACATAGTTATTTGTTATTCATATATATATAAAAAAAAGTTGCATGCTATAACTCATGCTGCCCGCATTTATATATTTTGAATATTTTTTCTCTGCCTGCGCCTATTTTTTTTGTTTTTTAATCATTTTTCATTCATAACAACAACTGAGTTGATCACAAGAGATAACGAGAGTTTTTGCTTTATATGTATGTTTTTTGTTTTGTTTTGTTTTGTTTTGTTTACATTTTCATAGTCGCTTCTGTTGCACTTCTTTTTACATTTACAAAATATGTTGAAGCTTTCGTTGATTTTTCTTTTCTGTATTTGTTTCATAATTTTGTGTTGGGTTTTTGTTTGTTTGTTTGTTTGTTTGTTTGTTTTGCTGCCTTGGCCTATGCGAAGCGCTTCAAAAAACTTATAGAATAATTGTTTTTGCAGTATTTAAATTTTCGTTTAATTTTTTTTCAATTACTTCTTAACGTAAAGTGAAAATACAAATAGTGTACAAATATTCGCTAACTACATATTACATATCTATATATATACTTATATATATATATAAATATATATATATATATAGATATATATCGCGTGCGCACAAAGGAAACAAATTGTGTAGCATATGCTAAGGATGAAGGGAGTGGGGGGGGGGGTCGGGGTTAGGGTTTGATTTAGACAGATTGTTGTTGTTTTTTGTTTATTTCAAACGGCCATATCTAAAATTATGTAACAAAACATAAAAAATGTTCATATAATCGATACACATGTATATATATATACATACATATATACATATATATATATATACATATATATGCTACTCTTCTACAAATTTTAAAACTTAATTTTAATTATGTTTTTGTTTTTGCTTTTGTTTTTCTTTTTCTGTTACAAGTTGCAGGCTGTTGAGAGAATTTTGCTAGATGCTGTTTTAAAATTTAGCTAAACACATTTTCATATAGTATAACTTTCTGTTTACTTTTTTTCGCACAATGCACTAAATTCAAGAATTTTCTCCTTAATATATAACAAAGTAGTATATAAAAGAAAAAAAAAACACAAAAAAAAATGGTATAAGAGAAAAATTTAAAATACAAATAATAATTAATAAACAGTAAAAATTACTGTGTAGCATAATTTAATTAGCAAATACAACTAAAGCATAAACATAAGCTTTAAAATAATATTACACATTTAAATTATAAACATAATTACATTGTGTGTTGGTCTGTCTGTGTTGTGTGCGTGCGTGTGTGTGTGTCGTCAGTGTGTGTGTGTTGAGTGTCGTGTTTTTGTTTTTTTTGCTGTTTCCTGTTGTGTCGCAAATGTTGTGCAGAACATTTCGCCAACAAGCTAGCAGTTCACACTAACAGTACTCGCTATGAATGTGTCTGTGCGTCTGTATTAGGTGTGTGTGTTTGTGTGTGTGTTATGGCAACAACAACAACAACAACAACATGATCATTGTATATAAATTATACTACATATAGCGTTTTTGTTTTTGTTATGAATGTAAACCATGATATGCGGCTGGCTGCATTCGTCACCGTAAATGTCGTTGTCTCAGTCCGTGTCCGTGTCCGTGTCCTTGTGCTTGTGCCCGTCATCGTTCTCGTCCGCGTCCTTGCCCTCGTCCTTGTCCCCGTCCTGCATCCAGCAGCATTGTCGTCCGCGTCATTGTCATTGCCAGGCCAGTGTAGACTTAAAGCTACTGCTGCCGCTGCCGCCGCCGCTGCTGCTGCTGTTGCTGCCGCCGCCGCTGTTGTTGCTGCCAGAACCAACCGCCGCTGCTGCCCATTCCAGCATCGGGGCCACGTTCAATCGTTCTTGGTCTGACAGTAAAGCTCTTTTAGCGACTTGAGCTCCTCGATGAGCGCTTTGTTTTGGTTCTCTAGCACCGCCACACGATTCTCCAGGCACTTAATGTACTCCTTCTTCTTGCGCCGGCATTCGCGCGCCGCTTCCCGATTCTTTTGCAGTCGAATCTCTCGCTTGCGTGTCTGATCCTCCGCAATGCCGCTGTTATCTACATGTATAAGAGAACGACAGAGAGAGAGAGAGAGAGAGGGAGAGAGAGAGAGAGAGAAAATTGGAGAATTAGTATGGTTTTTGCTTGGATTTGTGGCCTGTTGTTGCATTTACTGGCATTGTATGCTATCCGATTGGATAAATAGAAGGCCGAGTCCGGCGCCATGTGCAGCAAGGGACTGCTTGATGTGTTGCCGCCGCCGCCGCCACCCCCCGCCCCGCTACCCAGCTGTGAGCTGAGTACGTTGCCGTCGGGCATTTGCAGTGCTCCACCCGCTGCCATCACCAGGAGATTTATCGAGTTTCGGGTTTTCGGTTTTGAATTATATATTTGGGATTATGGTTGTAGGGGGTTGGGGGGTTGTTGTTGAGTTGTTGTTGTTGTCATTTGATTTTCGTTGCGTGATTTTATTGGATTTTTTAATTTTTCGCGGGCAGTCAAAAAGAAAACGAAAAAAAAACAATAAAAATTATAAGAGATCACATTTCTGTTTTGTTTTTCGGACTTTTGTCTGTTTGTACATTTGTGAGTGTCTGTGTGAGTGCGAGTGAGCGAGCGAGCGAACGATCGAACGAACGAACGAGCGAGAGAGAGAGAGAGAGAGAGAGGCGATATTTGGTTAGTTTGGACAACAGCAACGGCGACGGCAACGGGCGACGTTTGT